TTTCCCGTATAGTTCCGTCTAGGTCCGTATAGTTAAAGCTATGGTTTTCCCAGTAGTGATGTATGGAAGTGAGAGCTGGACCATAAAGAAGGCTGATCACCAAAGAATTGATGGTTTTGAATTATGGTGCTGGAGGAGACTCTTGAGAGTCCCATGGACTGCAAGAAGATCAAACCTCTCCATTCTGAAGGAACTCAGCCCTGAGTGCTCACTGGAAGGACAGATCCTGAAGCTGAGGCTCCAATACTTTGGCCACCTCATGAGAAGAGAAGACTCCCTGGAAAAGACCCTGATGTTGGGAAAGATGGAGGGCACAAGGAGAAGGGGATGACAGAGGACGAGATGGTTGGACAGTGTTCTCGAAGCTACAAACATGAGTCTGACCAAACTGCGGGAGGCAGTGGAAGACAGGAGTGCCTGGCGTGTTCTGGTCCATGGGGTCACGAAGAGTCGGACACGACTAAACAACTAAACAACAACAACAATTGTTCCCCCTGCTTTTTGTGCACCACAAATAAAATATGTGCAGTCACTGGCGGAGGAAGAGGAGTGCGGGAGGAGCGCATCGCCCCTGGCAGCGCGATCCCGGTGGGGTGCCATTGCGGCTGCCCCCCCACCTGTGCCGGGTGCCATGCTCCCAGGACCTGTGCCACGCCCCTGTGGGCGGCACACCACACCCCCAGGACGCGCACCAGCTCTGCCCCCACCTGCTCTCCGCCCTCCCCGGTGCCGGAGCATGAAGCTCCGACACTGTGTGCAGTGTGCATAGGAATTCATATGTTTTTCAAACTATAGTCCGGCCCCCAACAGTGTCTGAGGGACAGTGAACTGGCCCCCTGTTTAAAAAGTATGAGGACCCCTGCTCTAGTGCCTGAACTACTTTAGCCCGCCCTTCTGTTGATGCTCTTTTTGTTGTTCTTGGGTTTTGCAAGCGCTGAGTCCTGCTTCTTAAAATGCTGCCTTTGTCCCTACTTTCTTTACTGCCAGCAGCCTTTTACGTGGATACCATGTTATCGCTTTCTTTTGCCTCGAGGCACTAGGCCTCAATCCCAACGGTGCAGTCCCAATGGCACAATCGCCTTGAAATATGCTTGCATCCTCTTCCTGATTGAGAGCCTTGCGACACCACTGGCACTTTTCTTGCATTGGGCTTGGCCAAAGAATTTGCTTAGTGCTAGCCATATTTGGGATGTGGGTGGCGCTGGGGGTTAAACCACTGAGCCTCTTAGGCTTGCCGATCAGAAGGTCGGCGGTTCGAATCCCCACGACGGGGTGAGCTCCCGTTGCTTGGTCCCTGCTCCTGCCAACCTAGCAGTTCGAAAGCACGTCAAAGTGCAAGTAGATAAATAGGTACCGCTCCAGTGGGAAGGTAAATGGCGTTTCCGTGTGCTGCTCTGGTTCGCCAGAAGCGGCTTAGTCATGCTGGCCACATGACCTGGAAGCTGTACGCCGGCTCTCTTGGCCAACAAAGCGAGATGAGCGCCGCAACCCCAGAGTCGTCTGTGACTGGACCTAATGGTCAGGGGTCCCTTTACCTTTACCTTTTTAGCCATATTTGACCTTAGAGGCGAGGAGCTCTTGGATTAGGTGGTTATTTACTTAATTAACGCATTTATATCTCAACTTCTTCTCCAAAGAGCTCAAGGCGGCCTACGTGGTTCTCCCCCTCCTCATTTAACCCCCACAAAACCCTGCAAGGTAGGCTAGGCTGAGAGGCAGTGTCTGACCCAAAGACAGATAATAAGCTTCCTAGCCAAGTGGAGATTTGAACCCTGGTCTCCCAGGTCATAGTCCAACACTATCTTGGTTTATTACCATCCAACACTGCTCCTTGTCATCACTGTAGGATATTTTAATTTAATATATTTCTCTCTGTGTGTGTGTGTGTTACCAGGTTTTTTTCAATGAATCCGGGGACGCTTTTCAACTTCCTCCTAAATAGATGGATTTTGTGAGGGGACTGATTTGTAAATCTGGGGACTGTCCCCGGGAAACAGGGACGTCTGGTAACCTTAGTGTGTGTGTGTAAAATATTTTATAACCTGACCTGAGTCCAGTCTAATCTGACCTAATGTCTTCTAATCAGTCAGTAAATATCGGGGTTGCCAGATAGCTGCCAGGGAGCAAATTATGCTGTAATCTCTGACATTTGCCTTCCTGTATTTGTAGAAAGATTGACTATATCGAACTGAGGTCATTGCTTTCCTTGCTTCCCACCCAAGTTTTATTAGACCCTTAAAAATCTTACAGGATATCCTATAAAACCCATTGGGCAAAAGGTGAGATCTTCTTGGCCTCACTTTTAAGCATTCCAGATCAAGCTTTGGTTGTCTTTCTCACACCCCTAAGGTGTTTTTTAAAGGAACTTTCTTAGAAGATATGCAGCTATATTGTGCCATCCGTCTCGGTTGCGTGACCTTTACCAGATAGGTGTGTTTGGGAATTGCCCTTTGAGAGGTTGGTCACCAAAGAGGTTTCTGAATCACTATTGGCTCATAGACTGCCACATTCTGGCTATAAAATAAGAGCATTCACTTGCCATCCTTACACTGCCTATCAGAACATGGACCAATTCTGTAAGTCTTTCATTTTCTCATAGAAATTTTAGGATGCAAGTGTCCTCTGGGACATCAAGTTATGGCTATGCTCTAATTCTGATTTGTTTTTAACTTTATAATGTCTTCTCCTCCTCCTCCTCCTCCTCCTCCTCCTCCTCCTCCTCTTCTGTTGCTGAAATATATAAAAAATAAAAAAATTGTCCAGTAGCACCTTAGAGACCAACTAAGTTTGTTCTGGGTACGAGGTTTCATATACATGAAAGCTTATACCAAGAACAAACTTTTTAAAAAATATATTATTATTAGTGTTTTTTTAAACGTATCATTTCCAACAATCGTTTAACATAAATTCTTATCTTATACAATATTTTAGACTTCTGTCAACAACCTCTGAAGATTTTCCATTCCTTATCACTTGTTCTGCATTTCTTAATTTCTCTATTACTTTTAATTATCATTAACTAATAATTCTCTTCATAGTCTTTCTTGCAATATTTCAAGTAGTCCTCCTTACAGAACTTCTTGCAGTCCTACTAGCGTAATCTGTTCATTACAATTGCTTTTCATATTCCAAGAACAAACTTAGTTGGTCTCTAAGGTGCTACTGGACAAATTTTTTATTTTTTATATATTTTGACTGCGTCAGACCAACACGGCTACCTACCTTCTGTTGCTGTTACTGTAGTAACTTCATAGCAACAGAGTCAAGCTGGCTAGAGCCATATGTTGACTATCCCTTATGGAAACCTTGGACAAACCTCTGTTGGGGATGATTAAGGTATTTGACATCCTTTTCCAATCTGGTGCCCTCTAGATATTGTTGGACTACAACTGAGCATTGGCCATGCTGGTGGGGGATGATGGGTGTTGGAGTCCGATAGCGTTGAGTGGGCACCAAGGCTGGTATCTGATGCCCGATGTGAGAAGGACAAGGAGCTGGATCCACCATCTCTTCCTTGATCCCTTGCTTAATAATAATAATAATTTATTATTTATACCCCGCCCATCTGGCTGGGCTTCCCCAGCCACTCTGGCCGGCTTCCAAAAAAATATTAAAATACTGTAATACATCAAACATTAAAAGCTTCCCTAAAGAGGGCTGCCTTCAGATGTCCTCTAAAAGTCTGGTAGTTCTTGTTCTCTTTGACATCTGGTGGGAGGGCGTTCCACAGGGCGGGCGCCACTACCGAGAAGGCCCTCTGCCTGGTTCCCTGTAACTTGGCTTCTCGCAGTGAGGTAACCACCAGAAGGCCCTCGGCGCTGGACCTCAGTGTCCGGGTAGAACGATGGGGGTGGAGACGCTCTTTCAGACACACTGCTTACAAAGTTCTTCTTTGAAATCATTTTTTTTTTGTAACTGTCGTCTTAATTGTAATGATGCCTTTGTCTTCATCTTTTTAATACCTTTCTTCATCATCTTTGTGAAAAGGAATGCTTTCTGACATGGGAGGGCTATAAGTCAAAGCAGGCAGGGAAACAGGGAAGTTCGGAGGAGACTTGGAGCTTTTGCACATGGTAGCAGCTGCAGTAAAGCGAAGAAGAACTATTGGGAGGCAATATCTAGTTCTGTGTCTTCATTTTGGCCAAGGACAGCTATACAGTTAATCAGTACTGTTTTTCTAGAGAAAGAGGTGCTGGAACTCACACTGAACACCTCCCTTGTTCTCTTATAATGGCAATGGCACCCACCTGAGAGGTGCCGGAACGGAGTTCCGGATGAAAAAAAGTCCTGCAGTTACTACATCTGATTCTGTTGTGAGAAGAGACTACAGTAATATTTCTCTGGCCCTATTTGTAACATAGACAATTTAAAAGAAAATATGGACCAGGTTTCCACCCAGTTGGGGGGTCAAGCACTAAGTGGTTATTTCAGTGATTTCTAGAGAATTCAAAATTGGAAGGTGACCAAATGCATGACTCAAACAAATCAACCAAAATTTGCATTTTTCATGCATTATTATTATTTATTATTATTATTATTATTATTATTATTATTATCATCTGTATACTGCCCTATACTCACAGGCAGTGCTTTTTTTTCTAAAAAAAATGTTTAGGGGTACTCTTATTTTTGACTCAACCCCCCCCACCATTTTATAGTTCAAATCGGGAAAAATAAATACAGTAAATGGACAAAAGTACAAAGATTCACAAAATGTTTAGAGGTATGCGTACCCCGAGAAAAAAAGCACTGCTCCTGGGTCTCAGGGTAGCTCACAACATAAATTCACAATATAAAAACACAAAATACATAATAAAACCAAAAACAATCCAATTTAAACCACACATTTAAAAGGGCATCAGATGTCATTTCTGAATTTGCCCTCCTTTTTTATATATAGTTCCTGTTCAATCATTTCTTGTTTTCTAGCACTTTTCCCGTTCCTGCTGCTCTTGATAGCCTTGGTTTCCCCAAATCATGCTGAGGACCACGAGGAATGGATGAAGTGTTTTGAGGATCCCGACTATGAGGAGCTGTTAAATGTTGCCAGAAATGGGTTGGGAAAGGCTTCAAATCCAAAGACCATTGTGATTGTTGGGGCAGGAATAAGCGGGCTCACTGCTGCCAAATTACTGAAAGATGCGGGACATCAGGTAATTGTACTAACAAAGGCTGCAATCCTGTGTACACTTTCCTTGGGGTCAAGTGGATTTACTTTCCTTGGGGTCAAGTGGGGTCAAGTAGCCATGCATAGGGACGCGGGTGGCGCTGTGGGTTAAACCACAGAGCCTAGGACTTGCCGATCAGAAGGTCGGCGGTTCGAATCCCCGTGACGGGGTGAGCTCCCGTTGCTTGGTCCCTGCTCCTGCCAACCTAGAATTCGAGAGCACACCAGTGCAAGTAGATAAATAGGTACCGCTCTGGCGGGAAGGTAACCGGCGTTTCCGTGCGCTGCTCTGATTCGCCATAAGCGGCTTAGTCATGCTGGCCACATGACCCGGAAGCTGTATGCCGGCTCCCTTGGCCAATAAAGCGAGATGAGCGCTGCAACCCCAGAGTCGGTCACGATTGGACCTAATGGTCAGGGGTCCCTTTACCTTTACCTTTAGCCATGCATAGGTCTGCAATCTGAGAAACACAGGTCTTTAATCTTGACAAAAAGGAGGAAGAAGGGGGGTGGGTCTAAAATGAGTGGTTCTGCAGAACATGGGCTCTTTCACCTGCCATTTGAGACCCTTAATTGTAGGTGCCAAGGTTTGAACTTGAGAGTTCCGGCCTGCGCATTTTGCCCCATGTAATGAAGCTATTGCACCTCCTATGTGCAGAGTTATGTTTTTCGCATCCATGCTTGCAGGGGCCAATGAAACTACTATGAAACTAATGAAGCTTAAGCTTTGGGGCTCTTAATCTCGGAGGGGTCCCAGATGTGACTTTAGCCCACTATGCATATTTTTGGGGGGTCATCTAGGTAAAAAGGTAAAGAACCCCTGGACGGTTAGGTCCAGTCAAAGATGACTATGGGGTGCAGCGCTCATCTTGCTTTCAAGCCGAGGGAGCCGGCATTTGTCCACAGACAGCTGTCCGGGTCACATGGCCAGCATGACTAAACCACTTCTGGCGCAACGGGACACCGTGATGGAAACCAGAGCACACAGAAACACCGTTTACCTTCCCGCCGCAGCAGTACCTGTTTATCTACTTGCACTGGTGTGCTTTTGAACTGCTAAGTTGGCCTTTCAGAATATTTAGAATTAGCCAAATAGACAGATATAATAAGACAAAAACCAAAAAGTGAAGTGAAAAAGGAATGGGAATGTCTAAATGAATACCTTAAAAGCCAAGGTTCGAGGACAGAAATCTGGCTGAGTCTGGAATAACCTTGTGAAGTGAAAGGATAAGAAAGAGGGATTTATATCTGGATGCTAGGATAGAGATGATAAGGAAACAGGAAAACACAATGAGAGGTAAAAGAGGTGCTGTGGGATTGGTGGAAGCCAATGTTTGTTTTTCTTTTTAGTATTTATATTATTAACTTGTAAGATATGGATTTGTGGGGTTTTTTTGAATGTCGGTTTTTGTGTTTTGTGTATTGTTATTTTTTGATATTTTTCGTGTTGTGTGGAAAATACTAATAAAATTTATAATTTTAAAAAAATGAACTGCTAGGTTGGCAGGAGCTGGGACAAAGCAACGGGAGCTCACTCTCTTGTGCGGATTCGAACTGCCAACCTTCTGATCAGAAAGCCCAAGAAGTTCAGTGGTTTAGACCACAGCGCTACCTGCATCCCTTTTGGGTCTACTAGACCCCATTTGAGTTGGACAACTCAAATTCATTATTTTTGTTGTATGTATTTCAACAATCCCAAAGTTTGGGAGTCCGTAACACAAATCTTATAAAGGTGTGGTGATCTGTCGTGGAACAACCCCACTCAAGAAAGTGGTTGCCCCAACCTTGTTTCTGGTTGTGAAGGGGTCCCCATGACAGTCCAAGCCTAAGGATCCCCCAAATGTAGGTGTGCTTGTTTGTTTCTGGAGCAGCAATCGGTAAGGAAGTGAAGCATAAACAGCGACAATGCATTTGTTCCTAGGTTCAGATTCTGGAAGCCAGTGACCGCATTGGGGGTCGGATAAAGACCTATCGTGAGAAAGACTGGTACATGGATATGGGACCGATGCGTCTGCCCAAGGCACAGAAGTAAGGCAAAAAGCTTGTTGCCAATCATGCACAAAACTCATTCTGTTTTAGAAACATCTGCGGATGAAGTACTTCATTTTACCTTGTACCCTCCTTCCCATTTCCTGGAATTAGCAGTTGGTGTGGTTTTTTTTAGTTTTGAGTCGGCGTCTGCCTAGAGAGCAGACTTGGGAAGGGGAAGTGCGAAGGGTATCGGGTGGTTGCTCGAGAGCAATCAGGCAAGATGCCTCACTGGTCTGTTCTAAAGCTTTATTATTGGTGCTAAAAACCTTTACACTGCAGAGTGCCTCTATTCCATGTCTTGCTCATTCACTGGCAGAATCTGAGAGTGGGCGGTCCTTAAATCTTCCCCAGCAGTCTCTTGATCCCCAGTCTACGCCTCCCCTCTCTGCGCGAAAGCCTACTGCGCAAGGAAGGCTTGGGTAACAGGGAACCTCCCTCCTCCCTGCTTTGCTCAGGCAAGGTGTCCTGGCACCGCCTTGCATCCTCCGAGCCCTGCATCTCCTCCTCACTAGAGGCGTGGCTTCCTTCCTCCGCTGAGGAAGTGCTGCTTCCCATGATCTTTGGGGGCTCTCTGTAATCCATCCGCCCTTTCCCCTCTTGCCCCTGAGTCGATAGCAGTTCCCTGACAGGAAGTGACCCTACAAGACCTGCTGCATTCTTGGCCATAACAAAATATGTTCAGCCTTTCGTTCCTATCAGGCATTATCCTCCCTTCTGATCTGTGGGTGTGTAATGAATGCTTCGCAGCCTTGCTAGCATCCCTGAATATGAAAGTATCATGTCCTGTTATATTATTTTACACATATACTTTTTTAAAAAAGGCCTTTCTTACTCCTTTCCCCCGCAGAATTGTTCGTGAATATATTAAGAAATTCAACCTCACGTTAAACCGGTTTGTTCAGACGGATAAGAATGCCTGGTACTTCATTAGAAATAGAAAGGAAAAAGTGTCTGCGGTGGAGGAAAACGCCAAGCTGTTTGGATATGAAGTGGCTCCCAATGAGAGAGGGAAATCTGCCTCTAAACTCTTCCACGAGTCACTGGATCGGGTAGGTGTTTTGTAAAGAGGCTGTGTGTTCATGAACCAGCTTGCCTGCATCTTAAGGTCTTCTGGTAAGGCCTGGCTCCAAGTACCCTCTTCCGATCACATAGGACTATAAAGGCCCGCCCACTCTAGCATCCTGTTTCTAGCCAACCAGATGCCTAGGCAAAACCAGCAGCAGGGCCTGCGTTCAGCAGCCATTTTCCCAAGTAGTGGTCAGCAAACTGGCATCGCTCGCCCGGCTTCCCAATGCCGAGCACTGCTGCTGGTTACAAAGAGGGAGAAGGGCAAGATTGGTGGGGTCCAGGACAGAGCCCATGCACCCCACTGCACCCACACTACAAGGAGTTAGTTCCACAACACTTTGGCCCTTGGGAAGCCAGGTAACCACTGCCACGCTGCCCTGCTGACTGACGCTGCCTCTCCCTGCTTGTGATTACCTGCAGCAGGTATTCAGTTCGGCATGGGAACTGGTTACTCCCTTTAGCAGATACACACTATGCTTCTACAAAGGCCTTCCCATGGTGGTGCTCCAATTTTTAATTGGGGGGAGGGAATGCCCTTCACAGGGAGGGAGGCTGGCTGGCCTGGCTGTGACCATACAAGCTTTGGGGGGGGGCAAATTAAGGCCTTTCTATTGGCAAAGGCAGGGACGTGGGTGGCGCTGAGGGACGCGGGTGGCGCTGTGGATTAAACCACAGAGCCTAGGACTTGCCAATCAGAAGGTCGGCAGTTTGAATCCCCACAACGGGGTGAGCTCCCGTTCCTCAGTCCCTGCTCCTGCCAACCTAGCAGTTCAAAAGCACGTCAAAGTGCAAGTAGATAAATAGGTACCGCTCCAGTGGGAAGGTAAACGGTGTTTCCATGCGCTGCTCTGGTTCGCCAGACTCATGCTGGCCACATGACCCGGAAGCTGTACGCCGGCTCCCTCGGCCAATAAAGCGAGATGAGCGCCGCAACCCCAGAGTCGGCCACGACTGGACCTAATGGTCAGGGGTCCCTTTACCTTTATTAGCAAAGGCACGTCAGACTATGGATGATTTCTGGAGTTACTTTCTTGTCTGCTCTTCCCATCTTTTCTTTCTTTTCTCTTCACGCTTTTCGCAAAGCTTCTTTTTCGGTTTCGCACTGTGTTCCTCTGTTGCGTGGATTCATTTTGCTCACCCGTTGTTGCGCAAGCCTTGCGTCTTTTGACGAGGGTGGTGACTTTTAATTGTCAAGGCTTTATGATGAAGGGCTTAAAACAAACAAACAAATAAAGCAACACATGCCCTCCACATCGCACATAAGACAACTCCCATAATATAATATCGTCAGAGCATATCAGTTAACATAAGAATCACTTAATAAATCTTCAAATGTGACCAGAGTGTTTTTTCTTAACCGAATACTGAATGAATGTTTTAAGGCTGGTGAGGAAGGTTTCAAATGGGCATTTCTGATCCAGTAACAATATTTATGTTTACCATGCAGGTCACAAAAAACTGCACGATTTTGAAGGAAAAATACGACTCATATTCCGTCAAGGTAGGCAAAGTGGGCCTTTGCTTGTCTGCAGTATTTTTACTTTGATCTGGATTGTCGCCCTTGTGTAAAACTTTTGTATGAGTTACCAGTGCGAATGGTTGATGGCTGAACTTCGCCTGCTTGTTCTCTGTCTTAATGGTTCATTAACGTTAAACAGAACTTGAACTAAACAGCCTTTTGAATCAAAGACTGTCCTCTGTAAAGTGGGCCACCTGGCAGCACGTTCAGGTACATGCGCACCACACTAAATCAATGGAGCTATCCTCTTAGCACGTTAGTGGACATGGGCAGGCTCTGACAGCCTGTGCATTTGCACTAACAGTGAAAATACAGTGGTACCTCGGGTTAAGTACTTAATTCATTCCGGAGGTCCGTACTTAACCTGAAACTGTTCTTAACCTGAAGCACCACTTTAGCTAATGGGGCCTCCTACTGCTGCTACGCCCCCGGAGCACGATTTCTGTTCTCATCCTGAAGCAAAGTTCTTAACCCGAGGTAATATTTCTGGGTTAGCAGAGTCTGTAACCTGAAGCATATGTAACCTGAAGTGTATGTAACCCGAGGTACCACTGTTTGCTAAAATTATCATTAGGCTCATAGAATCTTTGCCTGGTTGGGAAATTGGATGCAGAAGACAAAACAGGAATGGGGAATCTGTGACCATACTGTTGGACTATGTTTGCGGATAAATTAGCTACAGTGGACGCTCAGGTTGCGAACGTGATCCGTGCGGGATGCACGTTCGCAACCTGCCTTTGCGTGTCTGCGCACGCGCGGGTTGCGCTTCGGTGCTTCTGCGCATGCGCAAAGCGCGATTTAGTGCTTCTGCACATGCGTGACTGCTGAAACCCGGAAGTAACCCGTTCCGGTACTTCCGGATTTCAGTAGTCCGCAACCCGAAAAAACGCAACCTGAAGCGGCTGTAACCCGAGGTATGACTGTCTAGCTCAAATAAGGAAGCATGTGTACTTTTAACTAGCCTTTCTCTAGCTAATCCCCACCCCCATTTCCTCCAAACAGGAATATTTAATCAAAGAAGGAAATCTGAGCAAGGGAGCAGTAGATATGATTGGTGACCTCTTGAACGAAGAAGGTGGATTCTACACTTCATTTATTGATTCTGCTATGGACTATGTGACCTTCTATGACGATGACAGGTAAAGGGGAGGGGATATTGTATCAGCTTCATTAATACTGTAACTGAGTTGGATGGAGTTTTGGTTTCTCATTATTCCAACCTGAAGGAGCGTCTCCACCCCCATTGTTCAGCCCGGACACTGAGATCCAGCTCCGAGGGCCTTCTGGTGGTTCCCTCACTGTGAGGTTACAGGGAATCAGGCAGGGGGGCCTTCTCGGTAGTGGCATCCACCCTGTGGAATTCCCTCCCCTCAGAGGTTAAGGAGATGAGTACTTATATAGCATCTGAAGGCAGCTCTGTAAAAGGAAGATTTTAAAGGCTTAATGTTCTATTATGTTTTCATATATGCCGAAAGCCGCCCAGAGGGGCTGGGGCAACCCAGTTGGATGGGTGGGGTACAAAGAATAAATTATTATTATATTATAAATTTGGTTGTCCACATCTCCACTTCAGTTTGCAGATTTATTTATTTATTAAGTCCTTGTGAAAATTTAACTGCGCTTTTCTCCTAATATATGCATTTGGAAGAAGATCTGTAGATTATTATTATCATTTATTTATTTATTTATTTATATCCTGCCCATCTGGCTGGGTTTCCCCATCCACTCTGGGTGGCTCCCAACAGAATATTATTAATAATAATAAAGCAAAAATCAAAATAAAAAAATCAAACATTAAAAACTTCCCTAAACAGGGCTGCCTTCAGATGTCTTCTAAAAGTCAGATAGTTGTTTATTTCCTTGACATCTGATGGGAGGGTGTTCTACAGGGCAGGTGCCACTACAGTGGTAACTTGGTTTTCGAACATAATCCATTCCGGAAGACCATTCAAGTTCTGAAACTTTTGAAAACCGAAAACTCAATATGAAAGCCTCAATACAGAAAACTCAATACGGAAGCCCTGTGGCATGTTCTCCATCTGAAAAGCGTTCAAAAACAGAAGCATTTACTTCCGGGTTCACAGCCTTCGAAAACTGAAATGTTGACCAACGGAGACGTTCGAAAACCGAGGTACCACTGTACCGCCGGCCCTATTACTAGGCAAAGTGAGGTGGCTGCCTTAGGTAGCAGATGCAAGCTGTTGGAGGACAGAGTTGTGCATGTCACACAGACTGCACTATGGCTTCTAAGCCAGTTTGCTTCCTTCAGGTGTAGGGGTTGGTCCACTGCCAGTTCAGTCAGCTTCCAAGCACAGAATGGTAGTGGACACGATCTTGGAATAGCATTGGAGGGGCAACGTCTTGCCCTTTGCCTCAGGTGGCAAAATGTCTTGGTCCTGTTGGAAGTTTGGTAAATATATACAGTGGTACCTTGGGTTACATACGCTTCAGGTTACAGACTCCGCTAACCCTGAAATAGTACCTTGGGTTAAGAACTTTATCTCAGGATGAGAACAGAAATCGTGTGGCGGCGGCAGCAGGAGAACCCGTTAGCTAAAGTGGTGCTTCAGGTTAAGAACAGTTTCAAGTTAAGAACGGACCTCTGGAACGAATTAAGTTCTTAACCCGAGGTACCACTGTACTGCAGGGGTGTGCAGAAAGAAGTAGCCGGAAAGTATAACGAAAACTCATGGCGCACAAAGTCATTCTTAGGCTTTACATGGAGCCAAGATGGAGCCAAGAAGTTAACTCCAGGACATGCTAACTCAACCTGGAAAAGAAGCAGGAAGGAAGTAAAACCTGAGATGAAATAAGCTGCTTTCTCAACAAGTAGTTACTAAATGAGAAGGAATCAGGGAGGAAGGGAAGAATAGGTTGCCTTTTGGTCTACCGTGTACCCCTTATTGGGCCAACCATTGCAACTTGAGGTAAAAAGGCTGGAGGTGTCACAAAGGAGGGCCAGAGAAACACATAAAGATAAGAAGCGGCACAGCGAGGGGAAAATCAGCAGTGAAATGTGATGGCTGTGCTGCTCTGGATACCATCATTATATGCCTTAGTAACTGTAGGAACCAGAGAATAATAATATGCCATTTTGCTCTTGGGAAATGTTGCAGGGAGCATATTTTGCTTGGGTTGCTCACCCTGTTCAATGTCTTTTCCTTTCCTTTCTTTTTCTGCTCCTGTTTCCTCCTTCTACCTCCCCAAGTTTTGAGGAAATCACAGGAGGATTTGACCAGCTCCCCAACGGCTTCTCCCGGGAAATGCCCGGGACAATCCGTCTAAGCTGCAGCGTCGAGAAAATACTTAGCACCGGCAAGAAAGTGAGGGTGTTTTACCGCAAGCGGGGCAAAGGAACCTTGTCGAGTCTGACCGCCGACTACGTCATCGTCACGGCGACGGCGAAAGCCGCTCGGCTCATCAAATACCAGCCTCTTCTTTCCCACCCCAAGGCTCGCGCTCTGCGCTCTTTTCATTACGCAAGCTCTACCAAAATCGCCTTGGCCTGCACAGACAGGTTTTGGGAGAAAGACGGGATCCGAGGTGGGAAGTCGATCACGGACCGCCCATCCCGAATGATCTATTACCCGAACCATATCTTCCCTAGTGGCCTCGGGGTACTCCTGGCCTCTTACACGTTCAATGATGACGCCGACTTCTTCGTTCCCCTCAGCGAGGAAAAGTGCGTTGACGTGGTGATGGATGACCTGTCGGAAATCCACAACGTCTCCAAGTCTTACCTCAGATCCGTCTGCAACCGGCACGTTGTACAGAAGTGGGCCCTAGACAAGTTTTCCATGGGGGCCTTTGCTCAACCCACTCCATACCAGTTCACCCAGCTTTTCGAGGCTTTGAAACAGAATGAAGGGAGAGTGTACTTCGCCGGAGAGTACACAGCCCACCCGCACGCTTGGATCGACTCAGCCATGAAGACTGCTATAAGGGCAGCAAGTGGGATTCATCTCAGTGCCTGATCTGTGTTGTAGGAGCTGCAAAACAGACATTGGTGATGTTTACCCTTCGTGAAAAGGAAAGACCAGTTACTTGATCCTAGCTGATGATTATTTGCGTACTGCCAGTTTTCTTTGACAGGCACTGTAACCTTTCAACTGTTTGAATTCATCTGCAAAGGCGTGTTCCGCCATTGTCTCCCGAGGCAGACGGATGCCAACCAGCTAATGTTTTCTATTATTCCTTTTGGGAGGGTGTTTTGATTTTGTCTTCCCAATATGTTGTATGGCATATTGATGTGTTATCTGATTCCCTCCCCCTTTCTATGGCATAATGTATATACAGTGGTACCTCACGTTAAGTACTTAATTTGTTCCGGAGGTCCGTACTTAACCTGAAACTGTTCTTAACCTGAAGCACCACTTTAGCTAATGGGGCCTCCTGCTGCCGCCGTGCCGCCGGAACCCGATTTCTGTTCTCATCCTGAAGCAAAGTTCTTAACCTGAAGCACTATTTCTGGGTTAGCGGAGTCTGTAACCTGAAGCGTATGTAACCCGAGGTACCACTGTATGCATATTTTCTTTTCAATGGAAGTCGTTTGGAGACCCTTTGGATGACAAACAACTAATCAGATAAACAAACAAACAAACAAAGGGATTTTCTCTCAACCTGCTGTGTGTTTGTGGCAGTGGATGATGTGATGGAGCAAAAATAATTTCCTTATTTGATTCCTGCATTGCAGGGGGTTGGACTAGATGACCCTCAGGGTCCCTTCCAACTCTATGATTATTCATCCACTCCCCCTCCTCAATCAATTTATGGTATTGTTGTTTTTTAAGTGATGCACAATATTAAAGAAGATTCATATTGAATAGGACAAATCATATTTTTTAACTGCATTGCAAGGCACAATCTGTTTGCATTTTCTGGCTGCCAGGTTAATGGTCTTAAATGAAATAAACGCTGCTCAGAAGTCATTGACGCATTCACACATCATTTCAAGCCATAGTTACGTCTAACTATGATTTGTGCAAAGCTGCCCAGATCATGGATGCTTTGCTCCTCTCATGCTCCTGCTATAGTATGCTCCCTGGAGTCAAGCCATCATGCCTTGCCTTAACAATAAATCCAAGCCCAGGCTGGTGATCACCTCTCACTCTCAACAAACCACAAGAGGTCAACCAAGAACAACCCCTGGGTACAGCTCCTGGCTTGTTCGGAGAGAAGGAGAAAAAACGAAGAGCCTATGTTTGGCTAGTGGATGAAATCAATTAAAAGCCCTCATAATCCACACGTTCCAAAAGAATATGGGGGCCGAAACATAGCTTTCCTTTGAAATTTGGAATTTTGCAAAGGCATTTCCGAGCTCGGGAGGAGAGGGGATTGCGGGCTACCCCCTCCCACACACACGGGGCCCCCGCGAGATCCAGGGAATCCCCGGGCGTGTCTTCGACCCGGCCCGCCAATCGACGGGCTGGGGAGGCGTGGTCTAGCCTACTTAAGGCCAGGCACGCCCAGGGACCGCCCTCTTTCCCCTTTCCAGCTGAGCGGTTTCCCCATCCCACCCTCCCTTAGGCTTAGCTAGCTATGACCTTGCTATGGACTCCGGTTGGTCGCCACATGGGGCCTGGTAGGAATTTTTCCAACTTGGCGCACTTTTAGCCTTTTGGTTTTTTCGCCTACCTCGTAGCAAACGTCACAACTTCCGCGGTATGGGCGGTTAGGCATTGGCATGGGTTATTGTTATGCAAATGAATGGGGGGGGGAAGGAAGTGCCATCACCTTCCCCCAAGGAAAAGGGTAGTGCGGTAGAGGACTCCAGGGGGCGTTGCCTTGTCCGAAACCTAGGGAGGTAAGGGCCTCCGGCACGCCCCTGAGCGGTGACACCCATGGGATCCTGGTTGGCGTACTTCAACAGGACTCCCACAGCTTGTGGATAACCCTTCGCGGTCTCCATGCCGGGTAGTCGATAGGAGCCAATGCCTAAGGCCAATACCTTTCAATTCTGTAATCAATAAAGTTGTGGCCTTTTTATGCCCATTAACCTTAAATAACGTGTCCAGTGTCACATGGGGGAGGGGACTTGCCACGCAATGCAGTTCTCCAGCTATGTATGTGTACAAATATTCTGAGGTACAGCGGAACCTCGGTTTTTGACCGTAATCCATTCCTGAAGACTGTTCAACTTCCGAAACATTTGAAAACTGAAAACTGAAAGCGGAAGCCTTAATACAATAGGGAAACTCAAAACGGAAGCCACGTGGCACGTTCGGCTCTGAAAATTGTTCGAAAACCGAAGCAGTTACCTCTGGGTTTTCAGCATTCGAAAGCTGAAACGTTTGACTTCTGAGATGCTCAAAAACTGAGGTTCCACTGTATTAACGAAAATAGAATGCTAATGTGCATCTATTAGGGGAAACTGCTTGGCAAAAATGTATAGACAAAGCAAAATTGCTTGTAAACATGTGCAGAGAGTCACACTAAAATTACTGTTGAATTTTCACAAGGACTTTAAACAAAACGTTTGCAAAAAAAGAGAGAAGCCCAAAGCAGGAAATTTCCCCATATGTAGCCTCGATGATCTGTTGCTTAACTGGCTGAGATACTGGCGCATACGCACACTGCATACTTTAGCTATGGTTTAAACAATGTGACATGTGACCCAGGACTCATGTTCTGGTTGTGGTCCACCCTTCGCTTGAGTCCCAGCGCAGTTCACACCTATTGTATAACATGCATCATGTCGCCTCCAGGGAACGCCTGTGGGAACGGAAATGCATTTGACCAAATGTCGGTCAGAAGTTTGGAGGGAACAAACCAGTTTTCTTGGAATTCTGAGCCTTTGGCTCTCGGGGCCAGCTGCTCTCTATAAAACGAGAGAGCTCTGTAGACAAATAAAACTAGATGAACCCATAATCTGAGGGGAAAACGAGTGAACAAACTGGAGTTGTAATTTACATTGCTTTCATTTATATATGGGTTAAGAGGTGGGCTTTTTGGAAGAAAGCTGAAGAACAGGGAAGAGAGATTTGGTTTTTAAAAAAACCCATTTATTTCTTTTTTTGCATGGAGCTCGGAAGAAGACACAGTCAGCCTAAGTGAAAAATCTCCACTGCAGGGTCCTAAAAGTGCCACGTACACACATACACACACACACACACACACACACACACACACACACCTTCTCTTCCACAGCCCTTCTGTTAAATCTCCCTCAGCAATTTACCACAAATCTGATCTTCACCAGAGCCTCCCTCTCTCCCACCCATATCCCCTTCTCTCTTCCCAATCCATGCTCATCCATAGCACTGTTAGGATATTCCGTTCCACCTTAAGTACAGGCATGACTGTTGTGTGTCACATGCCTGTTTACACCCCAGCACAGCTTGCTGGGAACTTCCGTTTGTGTATAGCTTTTGCTTATGCTGCTTGCTTGGACACGAAGGAGAGAAGACATGTTTTCCTCTTGTCCTGATGTATGCTGAATAAACTGCTTGTAAATAGGCTCATCACAGCCTCTCCCTGCCACTTCTGTTTTGCAGCGTTATTTACTCTGCTGAGTGTGCGTGCCCAGCTTCTGAAGGTTTCTGAAGCTAGGGTTGCAGTTTCATGCTGATCCAAGGACTTGAGATCGCCCAGCACACCGGCCGGTGGGCTGGGGCCTGATGGGGGCCTGCCAATTGCCCCCAATTCCTTGGCTGCATCCCAACAAGCACTGCACATGTCCCCATTTTACCCCAACCACTTCCAAGCACTTCTCTGAGATATCCCTGTTCCCTACATCAAAGTTGCATGGCTTTGAATCTTACACAATACATTTTACACAAGATTACCAGCCTCTTTTACTTCTGTTACCTTTGATATCTGTTACAATTGCAAGGACATTGAGCTTCTCCAATACAAAGTGGACAAAAGGCCAGACTATGCTTGTTAGATACATAGCATGGAGTTATATACCATATTTTTCGCTCTATAAGACACACTTTTCCCCCTTCAAAAATTAAGGGGAAATGTGTGAGCGTCTTATGGAGCGAAGTTCCCGCTGCGCTCCGGAGGCTCCAGGCAGCTATCCACAAGCCTTCAGAGCACAGCGGGAATTCCTGCTGCACTCCGAAGGCTTGCGGATAGCTGCCTGAAGCCTGGAAAGTGAGAGGGGTCAGTGCACACCGATCCCTCTTGCTCTCCAGGCTTCGCTTCGCTGGAGAGGCGCTGCACAGTTTTCCCTCTCTGCGCAGCGCCCCTTCAGCGAAGTGGGAGGAGAAATGGAAGGGGCTCCATTTCTCCTGCCGATTCGCTGAAGGGGCTCTGCACAGAGAGGGGGAGAATTTTCCCCCCTGTTCTCCCCCTGTAAAACAAGGTGCGTCCTATGGTCGGGTGCATCCTATAAAGCGAAAAATAAGGTAGTTTTGCTCTTAATTAAAGGGGGTGGTGGGTGGGAATCCTTATAAGGAGGGCAGCATAGGGTGTCTGAAGGATTGCCTCTGTCCACATGCAACTTTGGTCTCTCCTCAGCCACCCCCTGTAATACAGATTACACCCAGAGATTGCCTCTGCGGTGGCCATGGCCAGCCTCAGAATTTACTCAATGGTATATTCAGAGTACATTTTTCAATCCGTTTCCTCAGTGCAGCCAGCACATCTCGGTTCCTCAGGCTGTATATCAGGGGATTCAGCATCGGGGTCATAATGTCACAAAACACAGAGATAACCTTATCCTGTTGTGCCGTTCTGTAGGACCTGGGTCTCATATACTTAAAACTGGCTGCTCCGTAGAAGATGCCAACCACACAGAGGTGGGACAGGCAGGTGCCAAAAGCCTTGCGCATCCCTTCCAACGATTGCATTTGTAGGACGGTCATGAGAATGGCAATGTAAGAAGCCAGGATGATGGAAAGGGGACCGAGAAGCAATATTATGCCGGTAAGGTATATCCCATGTTCATAAGTGGATGTATCAGAACAGGACAATTTCAGCAGAGCTTGGACTGTGCAGAAGAACTGATCTATCCTATTTGATTCACAGA